AGATGGTAAGAAATTGTTATTCGATTTGTTGGATGTTAATTTCGAATTCTAATCGGCTGTCCTCCTCCTTTGTGCTTTTCGATTTCTACACGTTATTGGCTCAGTGCTGGAGGATGATCGCTCTAAGGTGCAGGTCTGTGTTCGTGTAAAGCCACTTACCGCCAAAGAAGCGCGCAGTGGTGCCAAACGATGCGCCGTCGCACACGATAATTGCGTAATTCTAGGGGCCAAAGGTACATTCGTTATTCGTTGCTTGACAGAAATGTTTCTTACCCGAATGTTGTCTCCCCCAGATCCAAAGATGTTCACATTCGACGCTGTCGCTGACGAGGCGAGCAAACAAGAGGAAATCTTTGCTATGGTCGGCAAGAGCATCACAGATTCGTGCATAGCCGGTACTACGGCTTCTTCTACGTCGTTGTCTTACCCTTTTGTAGCTCACGCAGTGTTTCTTGTTGCAGGCTACAACGGCAGCATATTTGCCTACGGCCAAACAGGCTCGGGCAAGACGCACACCATTCAAGGTAAAGCGACGTTTCTTGCTCTTTCTCCTCTCCCCTTCTTCTGACGCCTCACACTTGCGCGATCATGTGTGCAGGAGCGATGACACCCAGCGGCGAGTTCCTTCCCGGGATGAAGGGTCTCATCCCGCGCGTGCTCGATCACATGTACTTCCTCATGGACCAGAGCGAGAAAGCGGTACGCGTCCCTTCTCGATGTGATGCTCAACGGCCTTTTGACTTGGTTGCAAGAGCTGACGCCATCATGCTTGTTTGCACCCAATAGAGCCTGGGCTCAGTGCGCTTTGAGTGTCGCTGCTCGTTCCTCGAGATCTACAAGGAGAAGATCATGGACTTGCTCAATCCCACAATGCTCGACCTCAGCATCCGCGAGGACATCAAGCGCGGCATCTACGTCGAGAACCTTACCGAACAGCCTGTCTCCTCCACCGCAGAGGCGCTTGAGGTGTTGCGGGTTGGCGCCGCCAATCGCCACGTAGCTGCAACGGGCTGCAACGAGTTTTCCAGCCGCTCGCACAGCGTCTTCACCATCACCATCAAGTCCAAGGCACGTCAAGCACTCGTCTGCCCACTGATGAGTGGAACCAGTTTCTTACAACGTTCTACTACGCGCAGGAGGAGAAGAACG